TTTAAACACTTCTTTGACTTCCTTGACATGTTTATTGCCTGCTAGCATCCCTTCTACTATTTTAATATATTGTTCTTCATTTTCTCCTGGTATATTTGCTTTGTAGTTATCTGAGTTGCTGCATAGGCATCTACTTGGTGCCCAAATTCTCTGACTTAGCAGGATTGCTGTTAGCATCAAATCTTTTTCTACTGTTTCTTGATAAGTTGATCTTATGTCTTCTATATTGCATTTTTCATTGTATATTTCTATTTTGCTGCTTTTTGTATGTTTGTTTTTCTTATTCTCTTCATCTCTCTTAGGTTTTTTCCCAGTTTTTTTTTTTTTAGATTCTTCATCTAGTAGTATTATTACATTTCTATTCTTGACTAAAATTTGGTTTTGTTAGTTTGGCATTATTTCTAGTTTTTTTAATTGTTTTTATACATTTTCTAAGCTATCTTCTTTCTTGTTTTTATCCACTATCTCTTCTTCTTGTTATCTTTTCTGCTCTGCTATTTGTTCAATATTATTGACTTCTTTTATAATTTCTATTTTATTTTTTATAGGCAATCTCCGCAAACTCTGCAACTCCACTATTAAAATTAATGATTAATAATCATTAGCGAAGCTTATTTTTTATATTGTCTACCTATTCTTTAGAATATCTTTTTTTCTTTTTGACCTTTTCCTGACTCATATTTGTTAGATAATTAATAGACTCTGGGTTTAATTCGATCATTTTAGCTTTTTCTTGCCATTTCTGAAGTACTTGGCCAGAAAGTTTGTGTTTTGCTTCAACTAGTACTTCTTGTATCTGTCTGAATATAGATAGCATCTCTAGTATATTTTTGTTTAGATTCTTTGTAATGTAAAATGCAGCTAAGCAGTTTATGTCATCAGGTTTTCTTTCTTTCACCTTTTGCAAACAATCTAGTAGAGATGAGCAGTTGAAATACTTAAAGTGTGATTCTGCAGTTGCTATTAGATATCTAAACAGCCTCATATCATATATATTATATATGTACTCCACCTCTTTTTGATTCATCATATTGATTTATGCTTCTAGAATATTCTATCTTATCTATTTTGTTTGACCTTAATAATTCTATGTGATACTTGTTGTTATTCGTATCTTAACACATGTTTGTTAGCTTATTTTAGACATATTTGTTGTTTGTTTGAATTTATGTGTTTGTGTTAGTCTAGTGATTTGCAATTCCAGGTCAACAGTAATGCCTACTTTTCAAGAAGAAAATTTCTAAAAATTTTATTTTTCTTCGTTAACTTGTTTTCTGTAAGCCCAAACTAGTCTAATTCTAAAATAGTTATTGATTATTTTTGTTGCTCTTCTTGTTTTCTTATAGCCTCTTGATATGTTTCTTAGGCAGTTTAATTGATTTTCGCAATTTTTCTTTCTTGGTTATTTGTATCTGAGTGATCATCAGGAAGAATATATTACATATTAATTATAATTTATAAAATTTATATTTTTATTAATTTTAACTTATTTTATTTTTTTTTTGAATTTGCTGTATACAGAATAAGATTAGTTACAGATTGTATCAAGATGATATTAATTTAAACTATCTATTATATCTTGTATAACCACCTAAGTGTAGCAAATCATCTCTTAATTTCCTATTTAAAAACTAATTTAAGTTAAACTACTATTAGTTATAGAAGGGGAAAGAGAAGGCCCAGTTAATTTTAAATTACTAAAAATATATTAATTTAAATTTTGTTAGCAGTCTTATTATAATTATCTTTTTATTAACTAAAGCATAATTATAGCCAAGGCTAACTAAATATATACACTTTATAACTAACTTATACTAAAAAACTTTTTTATACAAAATAGATTGTCTTTGAGTCTTTAATTTAACAAATAATATAGAGCAAGTTACACGTCACTCTAGTTATATTAACACCTCAAAAAATAAAGAAATTGTATGATATATCCAGATATCGGTTTGTCCAAAGGCATTTTCATATTAGGTATATAGGTTTAAAATTTTAAAAAATGTTATTATAGCAAGATGACGGTATATCCAGATGTCAAAATAACAGAGTGATGTGTATTCTAATAGTAAAAAAATTAAAATCAATTTAGTAAATTGCAAATTATTTGTATTCTTTTCTTTATAACTATATAATTTTTACATATTGCTAAAACTTTTGGCACTTAAATGTTATATAAAAGTAATAGTAACATTTTACCGATTTTTACTATAAAATTTATACGTTTCAACTGCAATCTATTACTTAAAAATTTTTAAAATTGCGGACAGTTTATTAATATTAATTTTATTTACACAGCTGTTAGAACTAGCTTTAATGCTATCAACATATCAACACAGCTATAACCAGCATCACTCTATTAACACAGAATGGTCAAAATCTAGAGTTAAGGATACGTAGCAGAATTGGTTGCTGCATCGGTAGATAGAGATGGCATAAAAAATTTTATCTAAATAAGGTGATATTTACGATCTGAATATTCGGTATGTAGACATATTTTAAATCATATACATCACATGACTAAATCGATAAAAATCTTTTTTTTTTGCAAAAATTTTACTTACGACGTACTGTACGTACGTATTCAGATCCGCTAGTACAAAATTTGACTATATAATGTATGTACAAATATATACTTAGATGAAATGTTGACAGACTTCGACGTAGCGATAGTATGATTGTATGTGCGTTCACGTAATTTATGAAATAACGGAATTATGTGATTAATTGCGTGTGTTAGGCTTACTGGGGGCCGGCACCTAAATTTGAGATAATTAAATTATATCGGTCATCACTAATTTATATGAGTGTTGTCAAAAGAAAACCTACAACTCTAAAAATAGATTATTATGAAAATTATAATATTCTATTTAAGAGTTGTAGGTTTTCTTTTGACAACACTCATATGAAATGTAGTAATATAGTAAATTTATATAGTAAATTACTATTAACTTTTAAACCAAGATTCTTTAAAAACTTATATTTTAATTTTATATTTTATTTTTTTATTTAATAAAGAATATATAATAGAATATTATTGCAAAGTTTTATTTTAATAGCTTGCAAACTCATGTAGTTTGCTTAGAAACAACTAAAATTTAATAGTAAATTTTATTTTTTGCGTGTCTATATTTATATATATATAAACGCGTAAAAGATAAAATAAAACTTTGCAATAATATTCTATTATATATTCTTTATTAAATAAAAAAATAAAATATAAAATTAATACGTAAATAAGTTAAGACTCATAATCTAAAGTTAATACGTAGTAATTTACTATATAAATTTTTATTTTTTTTACTATATTATTATATTAGAAAGGACATATTCCCCGTGTAATATATATATTTTAATTAATATATATATATTTTAACGTTGAAGTAAATAAAACAAAAATGTGGCGTTCGTGATTAAAGATTCGATACGCCACACCTAAAAAGTCAATTTAACACGCTAAAATGAAAGATATGAATTTATAAAGTGCATATGTAGAAGGTTCTCTATAAAAGGATTTAACTTTCAGCATAATAAAGGCAAGAAACGTTTATAACCCCAAGGCCCCAATTCTGAACTTAATTTTTTCGTCGGGTCCACAGATTAAATTGCAAACATCGAGATCTCATAATGTAAGATCGTTTTTAGTAAAATTATTCTGCAATATGTCGCATAAGAATGTAATAAGAGAAGTTGGAAGATTTAAAGATAAAAAGGAAACGAGAATGGTGAAAGCTTTACTTATTTATTTATTATCCGCCTTATGTAAAAAAAAAAAGTTTCGCTTTGATAGTAATCAAAGTTCAAGAAATGGACCTTTGGCTGAAGGTCAGTGCAACTCAGAATGTCTACGTAGCCATCTTTGGCATCTAAAATAGTGTTAGTGATATTGCAACAAACACATAACCAAATTCGACTGAACTATATAGATTATAAAATAAAAATAAGAAATTTTATAGAATTTAGTTTGGTGGTTTTTGCGATATTGCTAGAGATGGCTGGACACACCGATGCAAGTGCAAGATAGTACTAACCAATGACTTACAACAAATGCGATTATTTTTTATTTCTTTTGGATAGAACAATGTTGATCGACTATGAATAACTTGATTTATGCAGAAAGTTTGGCATTCTTGGTAATAATTACCATTGTCGTGATCCACGATCGACACAATTGTATCCAATACATGTGTCATAAAAGGCGGTCACGACGTGCACATAAAGTTTATGATAATTCGAATAAACGAAAAAAAAGCAAGCCTATTCTTCCATCACAGCTATTCTGAACACAATTATAGCATGGATCTTTACGAAAAGGTTCATTGTACAGTAATTTTTTTAGTGTTTAATCTGAATATATTTCAATGCTAGTACCATTATAGATAATTTTAATGGTATATGTATATGATTTGTAACCATGATCTCGAACGATCAAAATAGAAATTATGTGAATTGATCAAAAGATTGATAATTTTTTTATATTTTTTAAAAGGTCATTCTAGCTGTTATTGCTAGTTTAGGATGGATCATACGTTTTTTTGCAAGCAAAAAAAAAAAAAAAAAAAAAAACAAATAAAACTAAAATAAAATAACATAAATAACATAAAATAAAAAATAAACATAAAATAAAAGAGAGGACCTCCAAAAATAGCAAAAGCCTAATTCCATCATGTGTTTGACTGCTGAATTAGCAAAACATTTGTTTGCTTAATGATTGTACTAATTTAATCAAGTTTAATCAATTCCGAGTTAGTAGCATATATATATTAAATATTAGTTAATGCGTAGTTTTAGTAAAGACAATATTCGTTCACATAGTTTTTTTTTTTTATTGTTTCATTAATTATGTCAATTTGGCATAATCGGCGATCAAATTAAAATGTTCCATTTATTATTGTTAAAAATCCGATATATTTATATATAAAAAGATTGCAAAATCTCGCATATTACTTTCTCTCAACCTTTTCATTTCTTTTAAAATTCTTATTTCTTTATTAAAAATCATGGGTAACTGCATAAGAAGACGGAAAGATAATGAAGATTGTGAAGATGATAGCCATATCAATGGAGCAAAAAAAAGATCAAGAGGTTCTTTCGCCAGTGTATTGAGAACTATGTGGTCTAAACGTGGTTGTTGTCCTCAACAACATTCACCACAATCTATCACAAAATCTGCAAGCGGTACGCAATTTCCAAGTCTATTTAGATATATTGATGGCAGGAGATATCACAATGATGAGAATTCGAAATATCCATTACCGAATGATGATGAGGAGATAAATCGGTTGCAATCTCAACATTATTTATTTAGACATGCTTGGGGTAAAAATTACTCTTCACCTGTTGAAGAAATTCTTAGAGCTGGCGGTGCGCGCGTGTTGGATGTCGGGTAATTTTTATAATTAATAACAAAAGATATAACAAAAGATAGTGATGGAATATTGATGGGATACTTCTATCACCACCTTTTGTTGTATTATTATGAATATTATGATGAATCCTTATCACGTGTTTATCTATCGCTTCTGTATATATTAAAGATGTGGTCCAGCGACTTGGATACTTGAAATGGCGAGTGAATACACGACATCTTCGTTTACTGGGATCGATATTTCACCTGTTTTTCCATCGAACATCAAACCACGAAATGTTCAATTTTATCAGATGAACGTATTGGATGGCCTTCCGTTCGAAGACAATACTTTTGACTTTGTATACCAACGATTCATGGGATTAGCGTTGACAGAAGAGCAATGGCCGATTTTACTCTTAGAACTTATCAGAGTGACAAAACCTGGTGGCTGGATTGAATTTATGGAATGCGATTTGCAATTTGATAACGAAGGACCTATTTCATCGCGTGTTAATAAAGCAGGTATATAATAAATTTGAAACCGGTTTATTTGTTATAATATTAAATTCGGATTTAACCGGATTTATTCTATAAGAAATAAAACCGGTTTAAAACTTCATTATTATAAAAACTGATTTAAAAACTTTATTACAATGTTTTTGTAATCACATCTAACGCCAATACCCTTAAATTTTTCGTATCATTTGATCGATATTTCCAGCACAAATGTATCTAAAATCACAAGGAATCAATGCATTAATATGCTCCCACGTGCCTCACTTGATGGCAAATTTGGATGATATAGAAAAAAAACAGATATCTACGCCATTGGGACAATGGGGTGGTCTAATTGGAGAACTGGTATGTAATCTTTCAAATAATTTCCTTTATTACTTTTAAATGCATCTCGTTAACGCGAGGAAAAATTAAAATCCCAATAAAGAAAGATCACACAAAGAAATCTGATGGATATATAATTTTTTTTATATATTGCATGCATATTTTATATATTCTACTTATGCATGATAAATTCAAACCTGTATTGTCACGCTATATCTAATAATCCGTACATAATTTAGGCAAGAGACAACATAATCGGTTTAAGTCGATCATTGAAACCGGTTTTATTTCCAGTTCTCAAAGAAGTGCTTGGTGATATCGATCTAGATTATGAATCGATCGTGAAAGAAATAGTAGATAATGAAGTTAACCAATATATGTCTAGTATAAAGTCTGTTAGATTTTATGGAAAAAAAAAAAATACTGATACTATCAATGATAATATCGACTGATTAAATTTAGATTACAAATTATTTTATACGTAGTATATATATATAGATAAATTATTATAAATTTAATTTATAATTTATAATGTTTTTTATAATATCTCTTGTAACATTTAAAATTGTACAGAAAGGCAATAAAAAAATCAAAAATAACGATAAACGTCATTATATTTCAATTGTGCAGGACCCTGCATATTTCATGCATATATGTATACAATCTGTGTTATTAGTTGTTATTAGTCGACCGACTTTTTGGCTAAGATTATGCTATTTATTTCATTGGTCAAAAATGAGCAATTTATTGTTAATACGTAACTTGCATGTAGAAAGTCTCGAAATAAGAGGTTCGCGGATTTTATTGCATGGATTCTTCGTTCTTCATTAATATTCGTATTTACCGTTTGCTACTGCATACAGTACCCAAGAATACTACCCGTGGGCACTGTGTGAGAAACGGGTACTATATTAATCTACAGTATCTATAGGGATCTATGGTTGGGGATATATCAAATCTATAGTTGGATCTATGGATATATCAAATCTATAGTTGGGAATATTAAAAGTAATAAACTAATATAGCCAGGTGGGCAATACCTAGATCGGGGCAGTGTTTGGACTCGAGTCAACTCGTAGCTTAAAAATCATAGTCTTAACTCGAATTAACTCGAGTCAAGACTATGTTTTTTAAGCCATGAGTTGACTCGAGTCCAAACATTAGGTCGGGGCATTATTTTTTTGGGGGGGTACTATATGCAGTGACAGACGGTAGAGGTATATATTTTAACCTTAGAATATTATGGATCTACATTTTATATATAGTAATGAAACGGCAACATTTTATAGGTGCTTAAATTTTGCAAATGAAAATTGTATAATGCTAACTTACATCAATCTATGCGTACCCATGTATCCCGTTAAATAATTTTTATCAAAAATCTAATATAATAATAGAATTTATTGCTAATTTAAAGCAACTTATTTTCGTAAGTTTAAAATTTCAATTTTTAATAATTCATGATGCTCTTCGGCCAATCTTTGTTGCAAACGTATGCTTTTATAATCTACAATAAGATGTCAGTGAAATTAACTAAAGTGGTAAAATAATTTCACCGCTATTAGTGAACCTCTAATTAAAACTGTTTAACCGCAAAGATTTGTTCAATATTTCTTGGCAAAATTATGTTGATCATGGGCCAGAATTATATTAATGTTGTCCAAATTAATCGGTTAACACACACAAAGTGATTAAAAGAGGTTTAGACAGTTCTAGTTCTAGAAAGATTAGAAAAAGCACGAACTTATAATATAGCTACAAATGTAAGACCTATAATAAATTCTTTATTGTCAATGCCTATTACTGTTCATAATAAATGTCAAGCCTTGTGGTTTATGAATTGTATTTAGTTTGTTTATAATGATAATTTGATTTTAATAAACATATAAATGGGGTGTCTATCATATTATTTTGTGCTAATCTTGTCTCTTTGTTGACTCATTTTTTACCCGTTTTACAAGTGCTATCGAAGCTAATCTTTTTCTTCTAGTATTATTTCTTACATAAATTCTTTTATGTTTTGTGTTTTAGAAGAATTTAATATAACCAAATTATTAATTATACTTTTTTAAATCAGTCTTTATTTTATTTTATTTTTTTACCGTCGAAATAACGCCTGGGGTGTAGGTTAATAATTTGGCCCGAATTAAGCTTAATTCGGCCTAAATTAAGCTTAATTCGGGCCAAAATTTTAACTTATACCCCCGAGCGTTATTTCGAGATGATACGGTAATTTCTGATTGAACTTTTACAGGGAATAATGTTCCAAAATCCAATATATTTTATTACAGGGACAGACATTGTCCGAATTTGTATAGCATAGAAAGGTCTTTTACTCTGCTCCCCTTCGCTTTAGGATTCCTGACGATAAGTATATATATATATATATATATATATATATATATATATATATAGTAATACAGTGTATTCTTAAGCAGTGTTGCACATTTGGATGTTTCTGCTTTTTTGAACTGTTCGGACAGATATCCGCACTCCTATCTTGTTTATAAATCTGTCTTAAAAATAAATAGATATGTGCAAAACTTAATTTTGATCAACTTTAATTAATAGCGATATCTTAAAGTTATAGTAAAGTTTTGCTTTATTCATCAAAATTTTCCGAATTTGTCCGAGCTGTTTGAATAAACACTTAAACGTGAAGTTACCGACATGTGTACCCTGGGTATTTCCCTAGCCCATTTTTGATATTTGGCATTCTAAATTGTTGCAGGATATAGCACGTTTCACATAAAAGTTACCACCGTTATGTTACACACATAAAAGTTACCATTATGTTACACACATAAAAAGTTACTCTATGTTGCAACTATTGATGCATCAAAAAAGGGATTTCTGTATCACTGTGACTAATCTTTTCCGGACTGTAGTTTATGTAACACAGCCCTATTTGCGGCATTATATAAAATATATACAAATCTAACCAAAATTATGAATTTGTTTCAAGCTAGCTTGAGGGAAAAAAAAATTGAGTTGCTCCCGGCGAGGATCGAACTCGCGACCTTCGCGTTGCTCAAGTATAGGGTACAACCTATAAGCACGACGCATTGCCACTTTGCTACGGGAGCTGTATTTACTATTTATAAAAAAAATTTTATTGAATTATTGAATTTGCCTTGTAACATTCCACACTTTCACATGATAATAAATACGGTATTTGTGTACATAGTATGTATGTACGTACGTACGTACGTACTGTACTCATCTTCAAAACAAAATGTCCTTCCGCATGCCATTTGCACAACCGATAATCACGCTCATATATAATCCATCTTGTAGCAAGTCAAATTTAGCTCTTTCAATTCTTCAAGAAGCTTTAACAAAACAACCTGGTGTATTCAAACTTGATATTCTTGATTATCAAAAGCAGCCACCAACAAAAGATCAATTAAGAAATATTGTTCAATACCTTGGTATTGAACATAACTTAAATCAAATTCTTCGAGATAACGTTTCGATTACAACCAGTGGAGAAAACACACAAGAAACGATAAAGACAGCTCTTAGTGTTAGTGAATTGACAGAGGTGATTAAACAACAGCCTTCCAGACTACAAAGACCTATTTTGGTAGATTGGAATAATGGTAAAGCTATTATCGCTCGCCCCCCAGAAAAAGTCGAGGAATTTTTGAAAGAATTGGGTTATTTGAAGGATGATTAAGAACCGATGGGTTTTCTACTAGCTATATTTTTAAATTCTTAAGTAATATTATGGTTGTTTAGTACATTAATTCGGTTTTAATTAATATATTTAGGAATTTATTATATCACCAATTATTAATATATAGCGGTCGCAAAAAAAATATTCTTCAATTATCTGAGAATAATATGAACGATATCCATTTTGGATGATTAAAAGCTTAATGATGCAAACTGTAGAATTCATTTAAACCTAAAATCACTGAAAACAGATCTGCCATTCTTTAGAAATTGTCATTAAATGATCAATCATTCTTCGTGATGAATATTAACCCATAATTAAAAGATGAACGAATGTCATCATAGAATAACAATACTTCGACAATGACTGATAATTTCGTTTAATGATTAATTATACAAACCGTAGAATTCATTTAAACTTGAAATCGGACAGTAGTTCTCAAGCTATTAATGTTAATGAGGTTAATACGAATGTCTGCAAAAGCATTTTATCCTATTTATTTAATTAATGTGCGGCTATAAAAATCTTATTCGATCAATTTTTTTAATATCTGAATGTTGATGTTCATTGAATATCGCTATATAAAATGAAATTTTAATTTTCGAAAATTTTCGAAATAACGTCCAAGGCATTATTTTGGGTGAATATTAATCAAATATTTTGTTGTATTAACTTTATTATATTATTAACTTAGTATACTGTATTAGGCCATACAAATTTAATTTATTGATTTTCATAACATGAAATTTTTAAACTGACCCGGCCGGCCGGCTTTTTT